TGTGTGTGTGTGTGTGTGTGTATGTGTGTGTGTGACTGAGTTGGGTTTTTTTTTAAAGCGTTAATTTGTCAAATTGTTCTACTCTAAAGATATCCCGCCTAAATACATGGCAAGTCTGCGGAACGAGCCCCGCAAGATGAAGGAACTGTTGCAGTACCACATGGTTCCTGGCAAACTCGAGGAGTCTACGCTGATCGGAGACACCAATCTGGACACATTGGCAAACATGGCGCTCAAAATCAAAGTCACAGTTCTCAGAGATGTACGTTTGCTTTGCTCCCTTTTCAGATCTCCCCCTTGTGGGTGGCTGGCGGGTTCTCTGATGATGTAGTTTACACCTTCTTTCCTATCAAACATCTCTATCGTCCTTTTTTCTCCTTTTTTATGCGTGTAACTCTCTAGTTTCGCCTGTAATCTCGCATCTATATGACCTGATTGTGTTGCAAGTGCTGTAAAACTCTTAGTATACCAACTGGGTTACTTGTTTTTCTTTGAATGTATTTTAATATCCCTATTATGGTATGGTTGGCCGTTAATCCGGACAATATCATTCGTGCAGTCTTTTTTTTTTTTTTGCTGGGCTCAATAAGTAAGTCTGTCGATTCCAAAGTGAGAGGGGCAGACTCGAAAATACTCGATCTACAGGGGAGGGGGATCTCCCCCAGCCAACTCAGGCTACGCCCTCAGAAGGGCTTTTCTCCATCTACCAAAAGGTTTTTATTTCTCGTCTCCCTTAGACCACCCTCATTAACGCCTGTCTCCCTGAAGCCCACGGAGGAGTTCTTCTCTGTCTTTCTTCGGGTTGCACTCAGGAGCGCTTTTTATTCTTCCTTCTGGATTAGCCCCCTGAAGGATTTTTCCCCCGTATCCCTTCGGGAAGCCTTCATTTGGGGAATTTTCTCACGTCTTCCCCTGGGGAAGTTTTCAGATGGGCATTTTCTCAGTCCCTCTGAGTTAGCCTTCAGAAAGCCCTTTTCTCCGTCTGCCTTCGGCTGGGCTTTTTCTCCCATCTTCGCCTGGATTGGCCCTCAGAAAGGTTTTCGCCCCCATCTCCTTGGACTGACCTTCTAAAGGACTTGATCTTACGTCTTCCCCTGCGTTAGATCTCAGAAGGGCCTTTCCCCCGTCTTCACATCGGCTTGCCCTCTTAAGGGCGTTTTCCACGTCTCCCTTCGGCGTGCTCTCCGAAAGGCTTTTTTGCCGTCTCCCTCGATAAGCCCTCTCAACCGTCTCCCTCGATAAGCCCTCTCAAGGGCTTCCCCCTGTCTCCCTCCGGTTTGCCCTTTGAAAGGCTGAAGGGCTTTTTCCCCGTCTTCCTTCGCGCCCTCTAAAGGGCTTTTTCCTCGTCTTCCGTCTTCGCGCCCTCTAGAGGGCTTTTCCCCCGTCTCCTATCGGCTCGCTCTCAGAGGGGCTTTTAAGCCGTCTCCCTGGATAAGCCCTCTGAAGGGTTTTTCCCTTCTCTCAGGGTTAGCCCTCTTGAAGGGCTTTTTCCTCTTCTCCCTTTCCTACCTCCCTTCTGCTCGCCTTCTGAAGGGCTTTTCCTCCCGTCTTCCTTCGGCTCGCCCTAGATGGGATTTTCCCTCGTCTTCCCTCGGCTAAACCTCTGAAGGCTTTTTGTTCGTCCACCCTTCCAAGATGTGTTCTCTAGAATTCTTTCTAGATCTAGATTCAAGACGATCTTCTCTCGAAAGAGGATTTTTTTTTTTTTTTTTTTTTTTTGGTCATTGGGTTTCTATTGAAGACTTTCTTTGAAGACTTTCTCAGGCAGGATTTCACTGGGTCACGTGTTTCGAGCTGTCGCCCGAAAGAGGAGCCGGGTTTAACTAGTCTTACATAACAACTTCGCACGGACCTCGGAGAGACTGAAACTTTGGTGCGCATGTCTTGAGCTTGGTGAAAATACCGTACTTCCGTTCATCTTTTATTATTGAACGAAACAAATATGGACGCGATCTAAACATACACATGCACATTACACGCACGCACGC